AAAATTCACTTCTCCCCTCCTAATTGAGATTAAGGAATGAAAAAATGGCAGTTCGACGGAGAATTAAGTTCCCCATCAACTAACCCTCTTTCATCCCTTAATCACTGTAGAAAATGGAAGAACCTGTCAGGGAAATCACAGCGCAGTAAGAAAAATAATTGTTTTGCGGCGCACAGTGACTTCCGGTAATTAAAAATTCACCTCTCATCTCCGAATTGAGATTAAGAGATGAAAAAAGGGCAGTTCGACGGGGAATTTAATTCTCCGTCGAACTGTCATTTTTTCTTTCCTTAATCTCAATTAGGAGGGGAGAAGTGAATTTTTAATTCGCGGGCGAATGGTGAAAGGTCAGTGTGCGCCGCGAAAAAATTATTTTTCTTACTGGCCTCTGACTTTCATGGCAGTTTTTATTTTTTTGTTACAGAGATTACGGCATGAGAGGGGGTTAATCAATGGAGAATTTAATTCTCCGTCGAACTGCCCTTTTTTCATCTTTTTATCTCAATTAGGAGGGGAGAGGTGAATTTTTAATTACCGGGAGTCACTGGGCGCCGCAAAACAATTATGTTTCTTACTGCGCTGTGATTTCTTATGACAGTTTCTTCCATTTTTTACAGAGATTAAAGGATGAAACACGGTCAGTTGATGGGGAATTTAATTCTCCGTCGAACTGCCCTTTTTTCATCCCTTAATCTCAATTAGGAGGGGAGAGGTGAATTTTTAATTACCGGGAGTCACTGTGCGCCGCAAAACAATTATTTTTCTTACTGCGCTGATTTCCATGACAGTTTCTTCCATTTTTTACAGAGATTAAAGGATGAAACACGGTCAGTTGATGGGGAATTTAATTCTCCGTCGAACTGCCCTTTTTTCATCCCTTAATCTCAATTAGGAGGGGAGAGGTGAATTTTTAATTACCGGGAGTCACTGTGCGCCGCAAAACAATTATTTTTCTTACTGCGCTGATTTCCATGACAGTTTCTTCCATTTTTCACAGAGATTAAGGGATGAGAGACGGTTAGTTGATGGGGAATTGAATTCTCCGTCGAACTGCCATTTTTTCATCCCTCAATCTCAATTAGGAGGGGAGAAGTGAATTTTTAATTCGCGGGCGAATGGTGAAAAGTCAGTGTGCGCCGCGAAAAAATTATTTTTCCCACGGGCGCCTGACTTTCATGGCATTTTTTATTTTTTTGTTACAGAGATTAAGGGACGAAGGAGGGTTAATTAATGGAGAATTTAATTCTCCGTCGAACTGCCATTTTTTCATCCCTCAATCTCAATTAGGAGGGGAGAAGTGAATTTTTAATTCGCGGGCGAATGGTGAAAAGTCAGTGTGCGCCGCGAAAAAATTATTTTTCCCACGGGCGCCTGACTTTCATGGCATTTTTTATTTTTTTGTTACAGAGATTAAGGGATGCAAGAGGGTTAGTTAATGGAGAATTTAATTCTCCGTCGAACTGCCCTTTTTTCATTTCTTAATCTCAATTAGGAGAAGAGAGGTGAATTTTTAATTACCGGGAGTCACTGTGCGCCGTAAAACAATTATTTTTCTTACTGCGCTGTGATTTCCATGACAGTTTCTTCCATTTTTTACAGAGATTAAGGGATGAAAGGCGGTTAGTTGATGGGGGATTTAATTCTCCGTCGAACTGCCTTTTTTTCATCTCTTAATCTCAATTAGGAGAAGAGAAGTGAATTTTTAATTACCGGGAGTCACTGTGCGCCGCAAAACAATTATTTTTCTTACTGCGCTGTGATTTCTCTGACAGTTTCTTCCATTTTTTACATAGATTAACGGATGAAAGAGGGATAATTAATGGAGAATTCAATTCTCCGTCGAACTCCCCTTTTTTCATCCCTTAATCTCAATTAGGAGGCGAAAAGTGAATTTTTAATTCGCAGGCAAATGGTGAAAAGTCAGTGTGCGCCGCGAAAAAATTATTTTTCTCACGGGCCCCTGACTTTCATGGCAGTTTTTATTTTTTTTTTACAGAGATTAAGGGATGGAAGCGGGTTAATTAATGGAAAATTTAAGTCTCCGTCGAACTGCCATTTTTTCATCTCTTAATCTTCATTAGGAGGGGAGAGGTGAATTTTTAATTACCGGGAGTCACTGTGCGCCGCAAAACAATTATT